TGGACCTCAGCCACAACGCCCTCACCCAGCTCCATGACCGCTGGCTGGTCGCCCTCCCACACCTCGAGGCCCTCCACATTGGCCACAACCAGATCAAGGATCTTTCTCCTCAGGCCTTCCACAATGCCTCCTACCTGCGGCACCTTGACATGTCCTCCAACCACCTGCACGCCGTCGAGACGCACTACTTTGACGCACTGGTGAGCTTGGAGGAGCTGCTGCTCTACAACAACCGCATTACGCGAGTGGATGAAAACGCCTTCACCAAACTGAGTGGCCTGCGGAAAGTCTACCTGAGCTGGAACAACCTGACCACCTTCCCCTTCCACTCAGTGCAGGGGCTGGGAAACTACAGGCTCCGCACGCTGGACCTCTCCTCCAACAGCCTGAGCAGCATCCCTGTGGAGGAGCTGACAGCTCTGCCTGAAAACATCAGGAACGGCTTGTACCTGCACAACAACCCCATCAGGTGCAGCTGCCCGCTCTATCTGATGCTCCAGCACTGGAAGCAGCGAGGTTTCAGCTCTGTGAAGGATTTCTTCGAGGAACACACCTGCAAGGTGTCTGACAATGTGCCTCGGTCCCTGATCAAGTTCCTCAAATACAGCCACATGTTTGAGAACTGCTCAGCAGGCCCCGAAGATGTGCACCCTGTGCCCTTCCCCGTGATGGTGGGCCAGACCCTCCTGCTCACCTGCAACACCAGTCTGCCAGCCATGGCTGCCACTTACATGTGGATCTCCCCTCACCATGAGCCCATCAAACACCCAGGGAACAGCAACCGCTCCTTGGAGGTCTACCACAATGGCAGCCTGAAGATCGCAGTGGCTAAGCCGTGGCACTCAGGGGTCTACGTGGGCTTGGCCATCAACAGCCCCCACAATTTCAGCAGGCTGTGTGAAGTCAACGTGACAGTCCACTACCCGAAGCCAGATGGGGAGACCTTCAGCACCGGCCTCACAACCCTGCTGGGGTGCATTGTGAGCCTACTACTCGTGCTCATCTACTTGTACCTCACACCCTGCCGTTGCCTGAGTTGCTGCAAGAAGCCAGCTCCTCTCAGCCCTCCACAGGAGTGCAGCGCCCAGTCCTCCATCCTCAGCACCACTCCCCCTGCCACCGACGGGCCAAACCGCAAGGTCAGTGCCAACAAGCACGTCGTCTTCCTCGATCCTGTCAGGGAGATGCCGAACGGCAAGATCCGCCTGGCCCTCGGCGAGGAGTTTCCCGACCCCAAGCACCCCAAGGTCCTGCAGCTCAAGTCAGACTCGGAGTCCATCAGCTCTGTCTTTTCTGACACCCCCATCATGTCGTAGCAGGGCAGAGCTGGGAGCAGAGCCGGGGCCTCCTGAGAGCTGTTCTCCCCCATCGCCACTAGAAGCAGGATTAACAAGCACCCCGAATTCCTGGCTTGACCACGACCCACGAGGGTGATAACCATCACCCACAATCACTTCAGCCATCAGCTCCTGGTGGGTTTTGGGCCAGGGGCGTGTCAGTGCCCGGCAAGAGCTCCTTGCATAAACCACTGGCAACAGCCTCGTTAGTACAAGGGTACCACTGATGAACCCAGCATGCCTGAGAAACCCTCACTTCCTTTGGGCAGCCAAACTCCCTAATAGTGACACTGGGATCGCTGGTCTGCCACGTCTCCGTGCAGGCAAGACCCAACCTGGCACCACTGCCACAGACCCCTAGGCCAAGGAATAGCCATGACGAGCAGGGCACTGTCCGTGCTCATGCCAAGGCCCCCAGGGATGGCGATGCCACTGTCCTCTCCCAGCCCGTGCCGGTCCTCATCAGCATGCTGTAGTTGGGAGCAGGGGGGGCGTGACCTTGTCACAAGGTGGGTACACACCCCCTCCTCGAACGTGGCCATGCAGGAGGGATGGGGCTCAGCGCTTGACCAGCATTACAAGCTTTTGCTTCTCGAGAAGCTGTAAATAGTCAAGGCAGGATTAGGTGACGTGATAAAACACCCCGGCCCTCATTGCTCAAAGCTCCCCGTGCTACCAAGGACGATGAGGGCTCACATGCACCACTCTCCTTCACTGCTTCTTCTTGAGGCGATCAAATGCGCTGCTAAAGCACAGCTATTTAGGCAGTAATCTAATAAGCCTATCGATAAATGTGAGTAATCCTCTCCTCTCTTGGGTCATAATTCTCCAGTTACATTGGAATAAAAATGCCTATTTTTTTAAGCTCATGCTGGCCTGAGTGTCTCCTTGCCCTTGCAGGGCAGCAGCGTGCAGCCACCCTGCAAGCTACGGGCACAGTGGTGGGAGCCTGGGGGTCTGAGTGAGGCCCAAATTCCCACTGACCCAGCACAAGGAGCCAGGTGATTTGCACCGGGCTCACAGCCTCTGTTGCCATCAAACATCATTAGGGTGGCCTCAGCGAGGGGGTTAAATGTGCTGAGACAGAGCTGGTGGCCCAGGGCTGGTAAGAGAGGAGCATCCAGTGGCTTGTCCCTGGGAAGGCAGGTCTCCAAAGTGATGCCTGGGAGCTGGGGAGTGAGCAGCATCAACTGACACAAGGGCACATCCAGATGCCAACAGGGAAGAGCAGGATTTAGATGCAGGGGAGAGGCACTCTGGGGAGACCTGCTTGGGATCTCACTGGCCTGTCTTTGGCTGAGTCCCGATGCTCTCTGCAGACAGAGCCCCCATCTCACTGGACACCTGCGCTGATTTCCTCAGCACCCTCTTGCATCGCCCTGGCACAGGGAGTGGCTTTGCCTCCCCGTAACACCTGCCTGATCCCACAGAGGGATAAGGGTATCCCCCATCCACCAGGCACCATCATCCCACCCACAGCAGGAGCCTGTGGTTGTCACCTGCAGCACCGGGGATGCTGGCACCACCCTGCTGACAGCAACACAGCTCAAAGACAACCCAGGCAGTGCAAATGGGGACCAGGGCCCTTTGCAGACCTTCCCCCCGCCCCCCCGGCCCCCCAACCTGCAGCTTCCCACAGCTGCATGCCCCAGCCCCAAGAGCTGCTGGCAGCCCTGTGACTGGTGGGAGGGGAAGGTCCCTGCAGCATCAGGACAGCGCTAGCACCCATCCTTCAGCTTTCTCAGCCAGGAGACAAGCAGCTTTTTTTTCCCAGAAAAAAAGTCAACTATGCTCAAAGTACTTGTCAGAAACCCTCCACCTTATCCAAGGAGGGGAGAGCAGCTATCGTGAGACAACTGCAGCCTCCCAACGCCCCTCCTGACACTGACCTTGCACGTAGCTTCATGCAATGTGTGCCCTGCTGACAGATGTGGAGCGACAGGCCCCGCCGGTCTGTGCCCTCACTCCCCATGCGCCCGTCGCTGCTGGCCCTGTCACCTTGCGTTAGTGCAGCACTCCTGACGAGCCTGGCATGCCGAGCCAGCCATGCTGGGGTGCTGCCAAGAGGTGATGAGGTGCTTCGGTGTCAGAGAGATAGGTGAGTGGCACCCTGTCCCTTAAGGATGGAGCTGAGGCAATGCCACCCCCTGTCTTTGCACCCAGGCAGGGATCCCATGGGAAGGACAGTTTAAATTTGCCCTGGGAATGTCTACGAAAGAGAAGAGACCCAGACAAGAGGGCCCAGGTCCAAACCCGACAAGGGCACTGCCCTGAGTGTGGTCTGTGCCTGCTGAGATGTGCTAAGCCTGTGCTGGAGCACACGCTGCATCTAAAAGTGCTGCATCTTCCTCCAAAAGGAAAGGTGAAGTGCTGCTCTGGGCTCCAGCACCCAGAGTGGGTGCTAGCCACCCACTGCTCTTCTGTTGCCATCCTTGTAGGTCTCCTCACAAACCATCCCTCTCCCTGCTGCCAACACGAGCTTCCCAGGAATTACTGCTCCTGCAAACCTGCATCCTCAGCTGAGGCTAACGACTAAAGCTTGGGGAAAGCTCAGGCCACCTAGAGTGTAACAAAAGCTCCCAAGGGCCTCTCCAGGGACACACCAGCCTGGAGAAGCCCAGGAGAGCTCTTCTAGGCTGGCTGCAAGTCTCAATTCTCCTATCCCTGCAGGAAGGCTGAGATCCGCCATGTCAGGGACAGCATATCTGAGATTTGTATCAGCACTACCCCCAAGGGCTCCCCACTGCCTTTACCCAGGAAAATCCTGCTGCTGTGTTTCACACTTTTCTGATGCTCAGAAAGGACCCCACACCACATTGCTGCTCCAACGAGCAAGGCAAAGCAGTCTGAACTGTCAAAGCAGTTCATTAAGCAGCCTGAGAGGCAAATCATCTCAGCAAGGAAAAACATAGCCAGGAGCACAGCCCCCCTGACAGGGAGGAGTTGGGAAACATAATGGGTGGTCCCGAAGAAATACACCGTCCTCTCTCAGCAGCCACCTGCACCATTACAGCCCCTGGCTTGCTGCCAAAGCAGCCTCCCACTCCTTGACTCCGCAGGGTAAAGTGACGGGTCAGTACAATGCACAGCATCCCTGGCACGCAGGGACCCATGCCTGAGCATGTGGGGATAAGGCCTGCCTCTGGGGACCAGCCTCCAACACTGACTCATGTCTCCCCTGGCACTTCACACCTCAGCCAGGACAATGTGGGTGTGTTGAATGCGAGTCCCTTCCTGTCTTCCTGCTGCCAGGGCTAGACACATGACGTACATGGCTGGACCTGGATCCCTTCCTTATGTTGCTCGCAGTTTTCCAAAGAGCTCAAAGCAGCGAAGCCTGGTGCTGGACAGCATGATGCCTGCTCCTGCCTCCCAGCATGTGCACAACAGCCCCGAGAGGCCAGGAGATCCCAGCCTTGGCAGTCCCACTGCTCAGGCCACAGTGTTTGGAGCCGGAAGCTTCTACAAACTCTAAGATCAGTAAGGCCAGACTCCTTTTTTAACTGTGAAACCTAGGTCTGAGCTAGTGAGTCCTCCGTGCTCTGGCTCACACTCACCCTGATATGCCATGCACTGCAAGACTTGAGTACCACTAATTTTCTGAGTTTTTAGAGCAAGGTAGCAAGGACTCCTTTAGACTGAGTGGTCCATGAAATGTCTACACTTGTACCTCCTTCCACCATAGCTCACTCATCAATACATGTTGAATGAGCATTAGTGTTTAAGTGATCAGTAATTACAGTGTCCTACGGGACTGCAGTGAACTACCATGTGCAGCGGGGCCCAGACAAGTCCCCACAGTCCCAGCAGTGCTTGAGCAAGCAGGTGGGTTGCCAGGCTGAGTTTAGCAACCTGCAGACTGGGATCTTTTGTGACTTTTCCAGCGGAGGTGACCCCAAAACCATCTAGCAACTGAACTGAGTCTGCTTAGCCTGCCTCCCCCACCTGGCCTCATGCCTCCTCACCTTCCTTCCCACCAGTGTGTTACTTCTGCCCAAGGAACCCTCCCATCTCCTCCCTCCTGCCAGTCCATCCCTCTGCACCCATCAGTTCAAAGATCACCCATTTGTACTGTTCAAAGGAAAAGAGTGCAGTGCTCCAGCCAGAATTACCCCGACATCAAGTCAGCCCAGTGCTGCTCCTCCTGGCAGGTCTCACTGGATCATGCTCAGCATCCCACTCCACTGGCACAGTGTGGGTGTTTCTGACCGAGAGCACAGGACCTGGCTAGTACCACTATGTTCCTGGCGACCACAGTGCTCTTCCCTCTGTCTTCTCCATCTTCTGGGCAGAAGTTCCTGGGAGATGCACCTTGAAGGCTGCTTAGGTCTTTTCTTGTACAGTTGCACTGCAGACAAGTTAGCTGGCTCCCTGCATGTGCCCTAACTCTCCAGACTCACACTGAGAGCATCAGCGGAGGGCAGGGCTGGGGAAGGCGCTGCCCGGCCTTGCTCCCCCTGCCTCTGAGGGGATGGTATCCGTGGGGCATGGGGGAGCCTGAGGAGCAGAGCAGTGGCTGAGCACTGGCACAACATAGCTCATCTCTGCTCTGAGATGGCCACTCACTTTCCGCAAAGCCTGTTCCAACCTATAAGCCCAGTCCTAACTACAACGTGCCCTCACATGTAGGGGACCAACAGCCTCACCTTCAGGCCTCACCCCTTCCCCTGCCTCTCGCTCTCACCAGGATCCTATCACAAGCTCTGGCCAACACCACTCCATTAGCTCACTCCAAAGGAGCTTAATAGAAAATCTGCTCAATTATTTAGCAGACAAACAGGGGAATGATAATGGCTGAAGGCAGCCAGGTTCTCTGGCATGGACCCAACAATTCAGCCCAACTCCTGGCTCAGCCTGCCAGATCCTGCCTTCCCCTCCTCCTCGCAAAACCAAGGCTCAGTCATTAGGGTCTGGCAAACAGGCAGCGCATGGGCATCCCTGCCTCCTCGGCCCTGCCAGGCACTCCCCGCAATGAAAGT